GCATATGATGGCATATATAACATTGGTGGACGTGCAGGTGAATGAGCCGGTGATGTTGTAGCTGAGTTAAATTATGCCAACATAGGCTGTAGTGTAGACATAGCCTAACTGAGCTTTTGGGGGGAAATCTACTTTATTAGTCAGGAAAAGGAACAATTGATAAGTGTAGATCCAGGTTTGCATTTGATAATTTTGTTTTGCATTGTAGCCATGTATTTCCATTACTCTCTTTTGTTTCTAATACTTCTTTCTTAAATAAATCTACTTTTTTTTATTATAAGTGCTCACAAGTGCTGTGTGATTTACAGAAGTGCTGGTTTAAGGGAAAACTGATACCTTAGCCTGACCCTGAACATCTACAGAGCAATTAAACAGTCCCCTAGCCTGAGTCCTGTGAGCCTGAGTCAGCTGATATGGGCCAGCTTTGGGTGTTTAATTGCAGTGTAGACATACCCTTAGTGTCCACCTCATAGATCAGAAAATACTGCATTTAAACCATCTTCTGGAAAGAGTTCTGTGACAGGATACCTTACTTATCTGTAACCTAGTAGCAGCAGGAAGAAAGTCCCAGAGTTCCTGTCTAATAGATCCTGTCTACACAAATAAATTGGCCAGCATAGCTATTCCAAAATAAGATATTCAGGAATAGCCATTCTATTCTGTAATAGAGTGTTCACATGGGGAGCTATTGAAGTAGTTTATTCTGGAAGACCTATGCTGGTCAATTTCCCCATGTAGACAAGGCCTATGATTCTGTTCTGGGAGGCAAGGGTTAATAAGCAAAAATCAAAATCAGCTGGAGTCCATTAACCTTCCAGGAGACCAGCCTGGTGGTTATAAAAAGAGGAAGAGCAAATTAATGACTTGGCTGGTGAGTCAAACAGCTCATGTGATGGGGGGAAAAGGGTCTCTAAAGCAACTACCTCACTTGTTCACTTTAATCCCAGAGGAAAGGGACTTTGGAGCTTTAATCCTGAAGAAAGGATGAATACAGGTCCCCCCCCCCCCAAGGAAAGAGGGGAGGGTGTTAGGATTTGCTTTGTTTGCCTGAACCATTTTCTTAGAGGAAAAGTGATTTTGAAATTGCTTGTCTGATCCTGGAAGAGGGAACTTTAGAAGTGTTTTCCACCCTAAGAAGAACCTGTTTATTTTAGTTCTATAGGTTGCCTGGGATTCTTTCTGGTTGAAGGACTTTTTGCAAACAGGCTCAGGATGACTGTATGGTATGTGTAGTATGAGAACCTTTGGTGGGGACTTAATGGCTTGGGGATCAATACTGGCCTCAGTTTAGAGTTTTAACAGTGCTAATTCAAATCTGGTTTAATTGTCTGAAGGCCATTATGTTTATTATTCTGTGAAATGTGGATCTCAGTTTATATCTTGGATAGGCGTCTATATTACAAAACCACAAACACAAATAACCCCTTTAGAATTATGTAGAGAAGAAAAGGCTTGAACTAAGCTGTGGAAACAGAATTCCTCTTTCTATGTTGGAGGGGCAAGGACTAAATAGGGCAAATTAGGGGAAGGCCATGCTTTGCAGACCACTGTTCAGCACCTTCCACCAGCAGTTAACTTTAAATGTTGTATTTAGAAATATATAGTTAACTTTATTTTATTTGCATTCATGTCTTGCAGATTGTTCCGAGGCTGGGATTTTGTTTAATATGCTGGGGAAATTGATAAAACCCCTAGCCTTTTCTCACAAGGGCATCAGTTATTTGTAGAGGCTATTGTACTGGGCACTTACACAAACATAAGACACACTCTACCCTAAACCACTTGTGTAAGATTGCTTTCTGGTCTCTACCTGCT